GAGAGCTGGTAACTCAGACCACTGAATATCCAGAGTAATACAAAATGTCCTAGTGCATGTTTTACTAGTGGAGATATGGGGTTTGCATTTCCAACAATACGCAGTGCGAGGGATTAGATAACAAACCACATATCAGCTCCCGCCTGAAGTCTGAGGTACTCCCTACTCTAAACACTGCAAAAAAAAAACAGTAAGAAAATGCAAATCAAGCTTGTCCCTGGCTCAGCAGATAACATGCACCTAGAACAGGTAGCTTRGAGCACAGGAGGTGTGAGTATTTGTCAGTGGCCTGGTTTTGTGCTGCGACAGATATCTCTTGGAAACCCCTTTACACAGCATGAGGCCTCCTCTACACCAGGAAATACCATTCACGGCCCGAACTGAATGCACAAACATGACCTGCAGTCTGGGCAAGGGAGCTGCAACCCCTTGGGATCTGCACTGCTGCAGCAACCAGAGGCCAGCAGGTTCAGGTCCCCACCATGCAGGGGAGTGGACAAACATCGAGCAGGATAAAAGCCTGCAAGATTTTGAAGTGTTATCTGAGKCCAGAGGCAAGCAACTATAACAAACACTAGGGGGAAAGAAAACAACAAAAGAGTAGTAAGAGCAGAAATTCACATAGTTTAAGCATATGCACAGCCTCAGGGGTGATCGCTTACTGAAACATKCAGTAGAACCATTCTTTCACTATTTATTTAACAGCAATCTGTGCATCATCTTTCAACTTTATGCWGTAGGTTGTGCTGCCAGATACACTGACTCCATTCAGGTCATTTACAGTATCCTACACTGAAGGCCAGGGGACCATTAGATCATCAGGTCTGCCTTTATACTGCAGGACAGTGAACTTCATCCAACTGCATATGAAACTTTTGCAGTCAGACTCAAGGAAGAACATTAGCAAAAGCTGCTGGCATCCATGAGGCACTGAAAATACTCTGCCAAGATCACATCAGCATTAACTGCCTCAGCTCCTGAGCAGACCTGCAAACACACTGCAGAGAGAGCCTAAGCAAAGTAGAACTGTGGATAACCACAGATGGTATCTGCAGCAGGGATTAAACAAGAATTGGGGAGAAAAATGACAAAAAGAAAATGAGAGGAGAGAATTCAGGGTTCCCAGCTAAATACTCAAAGACTGCTGAAATCTCTGGGTAGCTTCAAACTGTCTCCATGCCACCAAAATTGATCTTGCAAGTAGCAGGAGTGGGGACTTGCACASATGTTTTCTCCCCAGTTACCCACCTTCCTCTGAGATGGATCATATAAGATAACGTGTATGCTATCAGAGGATTTATTTTCACAGAACAATACTTCTAAAGGGAGAGATGGATTGTCTAAGATATAATTATGCAGGTGAAAATATAGTAATTAAGGTATCTGGCAGAGGAGAGTATAGAAAGACTGCAGGGACTCAGGAAAGCCTCCCAGCTGGAAGTACTCCAGGTTACCTAGGCTAACTAATTTGGCATTTGGTAAACTCCCAAGCTCCCAGAGCTTCTCCACGCTGATCTTCCTGTCCCAAGGGATCTGATATGCACAATCTGCCTCCCGGCTGGTGCAGTGGGGCTGGACAAGGGGGTGACAGTGCACAAGGAGACCCTTGTGAACTGTCCCCTTGTATTGACAATCCCCTTGTACTGACRGGAGACATGGGCAGCAGGTTGGCTTATCTACCTGCACACTGGCTTATCCTCCACCAAGGCCTTCCACCCTCACAGTTGTGGGGCAGATCAACAAGCATGGTCACACCACGAAGGACACAGAGGCAGAGGGAGATGCTTATGGCATCACAGCGGGCTTCCCAGCAAGACTAGCCAGCCCAAATTAGGGACACCTCAGTCACAGGAGTACAGTCATACCCAGCGTGGTCAGGGCCTCTTCACAAGCTCAGGAACTCGCAACCCATAACTCAGGAGGAGAATCTTTCCATCAAGCAGGAGYTGCATCAATGAATCTGCCTATAATTGAAACACAAGACTGCACCCATGGGGCTGGAAAGTCATCTGTTGTGTGGCAGCAGGCAGAAATGGCTTATCTGCAGGAGTCAGGGAATGGAGGTGTCCAGAGACCAGTTAGGAGGGGTCAGGGGAAACAGAACTAACAAAACACAGCAAAGCAGAAGGAGATGCCTTAGGGTGCATTGCTTTCCTTGCTCAGAAAAACACTGTGTCAGAATACAGTAATTCTCTACAGTTCTTGTTGTGTTGTCAAAAGTCACCTTACAGTGAACCAATGGGAGCAAATACTAAAATCCAGCTCTTCCAAGACTTTCAGTTGGATACACTCATGGAAGGGTGTGAGGAGGTCCCCCTGCAACAGAGTCAGATATGAGCAAAGAGGCAGACACATCAGACCAGTCCTCGAGCAAGAAACTCAATCTTGAGTATGCCCTTGTAAAACAAAGTGGAAGATAATTATCCAGAAAGGATATCGTACTAACAAATAGGGTTTTTTTTACCCACAGAATACAGTCTCACAGTAAGTGAGGCTTTTAGAGGTACAAGCAGAGAACTGTGACWTGGGAATCAGGAAAGATCAACCTGTCTGTTCATTTTAGTGAAATAGCACTGGGGCTTAGTAGAGTCTGCAAAGCTACCTGAAAGAGGGAAAATTAAGTTGTCGTACTAGAAATTAGCAGGAGTGTAGTGTAAACAGCAGAGCAGAAAATATCCTACCTGGCAAAAAAAAAAAAAAAAAAAAAAAGAAACATCATGAAATGAAACTTTCTGGAGGCCCCAAGTTTCCTGAATGGAAATATGTCCAATGCAGCAAGGGATATAAGATGGATGAGGTGGAATCACGGGAGTTGTACAGAATGACTTGGAGACCAGCAGCACTAGGTTTCCGTGAGGAGTAACGCCATGTGGTTACTCACTGACTGTTATTTTAGCTACACTTTCCCATAAACTCCAAAGACAGTCAGTCACAGGGAAGTTGAAAAAGTGCTGATTTGGACTCCAGAAGAAACGGAAAGCTATCGATGACAAGCCATTATATGCACGTTCCAGAGTTCACGTTCTTAAGGACCACAGTAAGCACATTATTCCCAGCCCTCATCTTCCAGAGCAAACAGGACGTAGGGAGAACAGTGCAGATTACCAGGGAAGTACAGCAGGAAGACTCAGTATTTTCATTTCTGTAAGCTGGGCAGCAGTGGCAGCCTCACACACTCCCCAAAGCGAAATTTAGCTAATAACTGGTCCTAAGAGCAGAAAGGCGGGACCAACCGTCCTCATTTAGGCCCTGATTAAAGGATGAGGGTTATTTTCAAAGAGGTTCAAAATTCTTCTGAACGCAGCCCGAGCCTTGGAGCCACCCACCCGCTCCTGGTGACAGAGGGACCAGCTGTTGTCACTGGAGGCAGCTGCAGCCTGCAAACCTGGTGGAGATTATTCGGGGTGGTCAGTACAAAAGAAACAAGCTGCATTTCAGGTGACTCGCGTCCAGTCAAGTGCCACATGGTCCTGAAGCAACACTGACCACGTGAGAGATGGAGTGAAGCCTTCTGAGCCTGCCTTTAGTGCCTGAACCCGAGTGAGCAGGATTGCAGCTTCCCAGGGAATTATTTCCACACTCTCCCTTCCAGCTACTGGACAAAACAAGGCTGATGGAAGAGGGAAGCCAGGAACCGCTCAGGACTCCCTGCCATTGTATATCCATTAATGATAAATACTTGGTATATCAAACATAATGAGAAGAAGAGTAAGGCGGTGTTTACTGCTTCTATATGGTTKTTGTAGAAAATAACATGGAATGGAGTAAGGAAAATTTCTGTCTTTATATTTTGTAGGGAGGTAGAGGCAGGAGAGAGAAATTCTAGGAACTAAACCACCTTTCATATTGCAGTGAAGTTCCCTGTCCCACGTCAGCAGAGAACCTGTCTTAGGGTCTGTCCTGTGGCTGTGTGAGAGGGCAGCGAGCCGACGGGTGCAACCCCCTGGGGCAGGGGGTTGTTTGGGGCTTCCAAACAGCCTGCACGGGAGCTTCGGCAGCTCCTCCCAGCCTGCGGGAAGCTCCTTGCAGGTGGAGGGAGCAGGAGGGGAGCTGCAGAGGAGGGAGCCCGGGATGAAGGGCACGTCAGCGCCACAGCAGCCRGCCCGTTCCGCGGCGGAGCAGCTGGCCTTGCCATATGATCTCCACCTCCACAGGGCTGCGGCCAGGGACTGGCGCTGGAAGCGGCTCTGCCAGGCAAGTTGTAGGAAGCCTCCCCCGTGTGAGCCAGCTGAAGCCATGGGAAGCTGCTGCGCTCTGCGCTTACAGGGGGCCCGTTATGGGAGGAAGGAGCCAGGAGACCAGGTACTTGCAGCAAAATCCCCGCAGCCCGGCTGTGTCCTGCAGAGCCCAGCGAGCCCCCACAGCCTCTCCTGCCACCCCCGTGTGCAGCTTCCCTCTGGCAACCCCCATCCCGCACACTTTCAGGGATGGCCGTAGGCAGAGCGAGGCGCAGAGCGAGGCACCGCCGAGCTGCCCAAGCCCTCCTGTGGCAGCACAAGGGCATCAAACCCAGCACGCTCGTAAACAGCACACGCCAGCGAAGGGCTGCGCACAGACACAGCGTGTGCCCCGCGCCGAGGCTCTCGCACACACACGGAGCACTGCCCGCGCCTCCCGCACGTGTGGCACACACGCACAGCACAGGAGTGAGGAACGGAGCTGCCTCCTGCTCTGCTCTGGAGCCTTGGCTCTGTGCCAGCGCCAGCCAAGGGTCAGCAGAGCCCAATCCCCACGTGGGTCCGTCCTGGTAACTACCCCCCAGATTCAGAGATGGGCATCCCAGGGACACGTGGGCTCTGTGTGCTACCTCCTCGCACAGCACTGATGGAGATGGGAGCCAATGGCTCTGTTGTCAGGGAAAAGAGAGAGGTGCTGGGAGCTAGCACAGGTACCAGGTGGGATCTGGCATCTCCACTGTGGAGCTCCCTGAGGGCAGCACCACCAGGAATCACATCACACATCTAGTCCTAAAGGAAAGTCCCTCTAGCCACAAAACTTACCCTATCATCCTCCCTCTGCCATTCGGCTCCTTTGCCCGGGGCACGATTCGAGCCTTGAGCCCGTTCCTGGACTGCTGGCGGGATGGCTCCGCTCTCTGCCTCTGGCCAGAACTGGGGCTGAGGCCCCGGCTGGGGGAGCCCCTGGCATCGCCTTGGCCTCCAGCACCCTGTGGGACGGACGCTCCGTGCTCGGGACGCTGCCTCCGGCTGTGCCCTCCACTCAGGCTCCCCGTCCCGGCTGCAGGGTYGTGCTCCGGGTGACGGGCTGCACGGAGGGGCCCCGACTCCGCAGGCAGCGTCTGCACCTGGAAGAGGCTGTACAAAGTGCCCGCCGCTCCCAYGGGAGCACCCTGGCTCCGGAGCCTGGCACGCGGTGCCTCCCTGCTCCCAGATTCAGCTCGGTGAGAGGCGCTCGGTTCAAATCTCGCAGCAAAGTCTCGCTGCGAATCACCAAGTCCCAAGAAAAGGACAAGCGTGAGAGGGAGGATGCTCCCCCTGGTGCACTGCATGGTGTCAGCCCGCGGGCAACGGCAGGACCCGGCGGTGCGGCGAGCTCTCAGCGCGGGGCTGGCATCCTCCTGCAGCCCGGGGTCCAGCGGCAGCTCGGAGGGAGAACCAGCCAGCCAGTTTTCTCCGCTCAGCTCTTGAAGCAGCCAGTCACTTCCCCATGTCCGTGAGGCTTGGCCAGTACCTGTTGCCTGCGCGCTCCAGGGGTGAAGATAACCCGGCTCCCTCGGCCGCGGGGGCTGCGCAGCGGAGCAGCTGTCCCTGCTGCCCTGCAGACGCAGAAGTGCCCGCCCGCCTCTGCCGGCCCGCTCGCCTGGCTGTCAGCGAGCTCGGCCGCTCTGCGCGCAGCTCCAAGCACCTTCTCRGCTGCCTCTGGCACTGGCAGAGTCTGGAGGGGATGGAGGGTTTTATTTTTGGAAACCTCCCCCTTTTGTGTCTTTTTGATGCTGACATCCCCCCTCTCCAGAGGACACGCTCAGCCCCCCTCCTTAAGAGAGGAGACATTCCAGCAACACCCACTTTGGCAAAGGGAAACAAACTACAACAGAGCGGCGTTAACCCGTGTGTGACCGGGGAGGCCCCCGCGGCGCCGGAGCTGGCGCAGCCTCCGAGCGCTGCCCGCGGAGCCAGGCTGGCGCTTCCAGCGCCGCTGCGAGCGCCCGGGAACGGGGCTCAGGCAGGGCCGTGGGGCGCGCGCTCCAGGGACAGGGGTGCRCGGGAAACACGCCACCGGGATGCCGGGATCCCCGGGATTCGGGCTTTCCAGGGCTGCATCAACACTGCTAGTGCGCTTGCTGCTTTYGGTCCCATTTCCCAGGAGGGTGCAGCAGCGAAGCCAAGGGGAGCCTTATTTGCTCTCTCASCCTGGCTTTGGAGCTCTCCAATCCCTCCAAACCCAGCTCAGTGCTTTACACACTTACATATTTGCGGTACAAGCCAGAAAGGGGACCATCCAAAGCTTTCTGTCCTTCAGCTAAGAGATGCCTTCCAGGATACATGTCCCAACAGCTTGAAGAAGAGTACATGGCCCTCCCTCCTCTCATCTCCTTCTGCATGGGCAGCTGGAAATGGAGGCAGGACTTGAAATGACTATTAAATGCCCTGAGAAAGGCTGAGGGAAGAGTGGGAGGAAGGAGCAGGGGGTCAGGAGTCCCCTTTCAGCCCCACACATAGTCTTGGCCCGGAGGAATGCAGGCTGAGCCCAGTCTAATGTGCTACTCTGGTAGCACACTTGCTGTGCCCATAGTCCTGACCATGAGCTTGCCCACGAGGACTCTCATTGCATCTCTGGGTGCAAGGAGGGCAGAGGAGGGTGCAGTAGGTGCTCAGGGGCRGGAGGCACCTGCCAGTGCAGGTTCCTGTGGCAGGTGCTCCAAAATGCATCAGCCAGTAACACTCACCAACCCAGGCTCATCGTGCCAGGCTCGTTTTGCCACCAGTCAGACAAAACTGCATCTCACTCACTGTTCTGTGTGAGAACAACTGGTGGATGTGTATGGAAAATAAGAGAAACAGGGTATCTGCAGAGCAAACTTTCTGGTGCACCATTATGTCTTCCAGGAACCTGTGCTGCAGGGGCTTCCTGAACCAGATACAATAGCTAGGCAATTGGCTTTAAGTACATTGTCATATCCACCCATGAATTTACCTAATCCCTTTTCAAATTCATTGATATGTGGAGGCTCTGCAACATCCTAGGTAACTTCCAGTGTCAGAGTTTGCACCATGTAGTTTACTTCTAATTTTGGACCTGATTTCAGTGGCTTTCTGTTGTTTTAAGGAATAGGAAAAGACAGTCTCCTAGTGCCCTGCATACAACCATCCTAGCTCCCCCATCCCCTCACTCATCACTTTTGGGCCTGGGCATCTTGCTCTGCTTGTTCTCCTGGTGCCTCTGGGGTGCCCAGTCTAACCAAATGCCCACACCTCCCCATCAGCAAGAGATCTCCACTCCTGTGTGCAGGCAAAGCTGCCTCAGCAGCCCCAAGACTGGCTCCTGACAGCACCTGCAAGCACACGCAGCCAAAGGAAACTGGCTCCAGCTTCTGCTGCCTCACCAATGCCGTTCCCACCAACGCTGCCCAGGCACAGTCCTTGCTCTGCAACTGCCACCTCCCAGCACCTTCCAGGACCCCTTCCCACCAGTGCAGCTCTCCTGCCAGCAGCCTCCTCTCCCTCTCCTGTCATGCAGGCTGGAGGTCTTCACGGACCAGCTGCTTGCCAAAAGATGTGCAGTGGATGGTCCTGCCTCCTCTGCAACCTCCATCACATACATTCTTAAAAGTTCCTCCTGTTTGAAACCAGTGGCTCCGGCTCCCTTTTTCCACTACCTGTTTTCTTGGCAAGTGTTTCTCTCACTCCAASACATCACAGAGGGATTTCATCCAGCTCTGAATGATCTTATTCCTTCCCACACCAGTGAAATCTATTGCTCTGGAGGGTCCCAGTTTGGTATCTCTCTCTTTCCTGGTTGATTTAAGTCGTGAGGCCTGTCACCAAAATCACCGGACAGGACACAGACTGTCCACCCTGCCCACCAACACTCAGTGTCCTGAGAGTCGCCCGCAGCCAGATGGCTCTCTCTGGCTGGGAACTGAGGCTTGAGCAGCCCCTCCTGAGGCTGCATCACCCGCTCTGTTCCCAGCCCCTGCTAAAACCCTGCTCCTGGTTTTCCAAGGCCCGCTCCACACAAGCCAGCCCACCTGTTCCCCAGCCCATGCCCAGAGCTCTGGCCTCAGCACCATTCRCCCCTTCCCTGCAGTTTGGCACTGGGAAATGGGGGGAGTCAAATCCTTTGCCTGTCTCTGCTGCCATCCTGGGCAGATACTCACATTCCATCCCTTGCCAGGCCATGGAATCACAGCTGCTCTCCAAATCCCAGCTCAAAACTAGGGAGTCTGCAGTGGTCCTGGCAGGGTCAGGGAGGGGGTAGTACAGACACTGGGGTCAGATGGCATCTTCAAGAGCTACTGCAAGACCCTGCTATGGCCTCTGGCTTTTTAGGTCCACTCAGGGCACAGCTGCATCCTCCCTGAGCTGGGGATATCTGCACATTGGCACGTGGAGAAGCTAGGGAAGAAGAAGTAGAGATGCAGAGGATAAATCCCGTGGGAAGAGCTGATTCTGAAGCAGAGCAGGGACCATGGGTCACAGCTCTGGTTTCCCTGCAAGCACATACACCAGCAACACAGCTTTGCACACAGAAACCCACACAGCAGCATTCTCCTCCCAGCAGATGTGGAAAGCAATGGAAGGGGGTGGTAATTTGGCAGCTCCCACTTGGATGCAAGTGAGTGTGATGGGAGCGACAGGGAGTGCGTGGGTCCAGGGTTTGACCCTGGCCATGGTGGTTGGCTTCCCAGGGCAGTAGTTTTTGAGGAAATACCAGGGGTTGCTTTAGGGTGGGATCAGCTCTCCCATCTGCACTGCTGAAGCAGAGCCACCACTTGGGCACAAGTCATGGTGGTGAGTCCGCAGATGTCAAATCCAGCGAGCAGCACCCGATAAAAGACATGGCTCATTTCTTTGTTCTAAGGAAAAAGAATGTCCTTTCCATCCTCATCTAATTACTTTCTTATGCAGCAGTGGAAAGAATGCTTGGTGCCTAAACCTGACACAGGAAAATTATCAACACCATAAACAAAGCCATAAACAAAGGAGCCAAAAGCCCAAGCCCTGCTGACAACGAGTGCAGGCAACGCTGATGCAGGCTTGCCTGGGGTGCAAGCAAACTCCTCTTTCTGGGAGGCACTGTGTCACCCTTGGAACAAGCAGCCTCACAGCTTCCCAAGGGAGCGCGCCCATGGCTCCCTGACGGAGCCAAGGAATGAGCAGTGTAAACCAAAGAAGCCACCGACAGTCCTGCAGTGTCTTACACAGGTCGCAGCCACCGCTGCCTCCAGCCTTCATGGAGCCAGGCCCGGGAAGCTGGCATCCCTTTTCAAATCATTTTCACTCCGTGTTTACGGCAGCCCCCCAGGAGCTGGACCCTGAACTCCTTCCAGCCTTACACATACGAGCGCTCGCTCGCTTTCCCAGGGACGCGTYGGAGCCGTTTGATCCACGGAGCCGCTGTGGGGAGGCCGGGCACAGAGAGGGGAACCTGTGCCTCCAGAGGGGAACCATTCCCTCTTGGTGCAGCTCAGCAGCAAGGGCCGTGAGTGGGGTACTCTGGCACCGGCTCCTTCCCTCCGAGCAYGGTGACTCGTTTCACATGCGGCCTTCCCTGAAAATGACTGTCGGAAATCGGGAAGCACGTGGTCCGTGGGGAATTATAACGCAAGTTGGGCTCCAGCGTGCTGCTCAGCGGGGGCTCAGGAGACAAACATGAACTACCTCATTTCTGAGGAACTCACACAGACAGCAGCACGCGGGCAATTAGGCTCTTCAGCTCAGAGATCAAACCCTTGCCCAAGAGGTGAGATAGGCCACAGAGCAACAGCGAGCCCAACCTGGGACGTGACAGCCCATTCATTGCTGGTGGCTGGGCAGCCTGGCCTGCAGCGATGGGGAACTCATGCCAACAGCAGG